AAAAAAAAAAAAAAAAAAAAAAAAAAAAAAAAAAAGAACAAATAAACCAATATTGCTCTTTTAAGTAACACAAGCAAAAAATGTACAGGGCCTCAAACTGATCTAAGCTCCACTGGTAATGGTGTTGAGTTTCATAAAGAGAAAAGACTGCCTTGATCATCTGCCTCATCTGAGAAAAGCCATCTGGTCCCTCTTTCAAAACATAATTGCGAGGTGTACCTTTGCTATCACAAATTTTGTTTCAAATAAACAACTTGGAACAGTAAGCGGAGATGGTTTTAGCACCTCCACACTGTGGTCAAGGAACAGTAACAGCTGAAAACAAAGTTTTGGGGCAGGGTGAGCAACACAGTTAACAGCTCCTCCACAAGAAATTTCAGTCACCGCATCTCCAAGAGCAAACCAAGGAATCCCTAGAAAAAGAGGCTCTGGGAGACTGTTTCTAAAAGTGGGAAGAATGGAAACACCTGGCAGAGACTCAGACATACAGGAGAAGTCAAATGCTCAGAAATACAGAAGTCAAATGCTATGATAATTAAGTATTTTTGTCTCTAGACAATGCTTGTTCAAATAATATATGAGTACCACAAAAGAGTCTCAATATCCATTACAATTTTTCTTAAGAGAGTGGTGGCTTTTCCTACTGTGGACAAAACTGAATTAGCCAAACAGCAGTTACCTTTCAAGATCTTCCTTTTCCTCCTCCTGTTCACATTTCTCAGTTCCAAACTTGGCTTTTAGTGACTGAGCTCTTGCAATGAGAGCTTCCACATTAGTAATCTGGTGAATGATTTCCTGGCGGTGGAAAAGGAAGAGGCATACGTTGGGAGATGGCAAAAAAGCAAAGCCTTTTAAAAAAACGCATCTTAAAAATAATTTGTGCCAACTGAGGAGAACACTGGGCAAGATTCTGACACTACATCAAACTTACTTCCAACTTCTTGTCTTCTGGATTGGGGAAGTGCAAAACTTTACTGGAATGGCATATTATCTGCTTTATGATCTTCTTAACTGAAGAAATGTTTTCTAGATTTTCTATTTTTAAAAGAGTAAAGCCATCATTAAATAAATTAAGCAAAATATACTTTCACTTTGGAAATGAACTAATGATCAGTTAAATATGACATTTACCTTCTTCCTTTACCTTGAGTACAGCTGCATGAATCACACAAGGTAACAGGTGCCGAGCAAGGTCTGCAGGTTTCTGGATTGCCAGATAGTGCAGCACCTGAAGGAGGCATAGTGTACACATATGATCAGCGCGGGTGTCAAAGGATGACAGCCTCTTACGGAAGTGCAAATCCTCAGCCACTCGTCTTACATCTTAGCAAGACAGCACTCCCCATCACAGGTAGACAGCCACAACCCCAAAGGTGAGGATAATGTTACTGAAAGCACCTAAGAACTTCAATCTTTAATAATGCTAAATATTCTCATTTTTTGGGGGGGGGCTTCCATATGTAATACATGCAAATAAGGAAAATACAAAGAAAAAACCACCGATAAACTACAATGCCTAGAGATAACAATCATGAACAGTGGAATGTTTTCGTTTTAAGACACAGAATACACATATTAAAGATACTAATATTAAATATGTAAAATACTGCTTTTTAACCTGCTTTTCTCAGTATTTCTAAACATTCTGACTTTCCATACATTTTAATTTTTTTTTCCAATTCTTATTATAAGAATACAGAGAAGTATGTATACAAAACGTGGACCCTACCTTTAGGCTCTTTATTCAACAGTAATAAAGATAAAAGAAGTATAAACTCTATAAATATATAAAGTTCTTTGATATCAATAAACAAAATTTTAAGAAGTATAATCTCATAATGTGAGTCTGACTAATAAATGCTCATGGATTTCAAAATTTAAAAAAACACAGGTGATGCAGAAAGTTTCCTGCAATCCTCCTTCACCAAAACACATTTTCATGTTTATCCTCTCAAACTACTTATAAGCCCGTTTAAACACAGAGATGTAGATGCATATGTAATTTCTTAACAAAAATTAGTAACTTACATACTGGTTTATGATTTGCTTTGTTCATCTTATGGTGGACTTTTTTTTTTTTGGCTTGGAGAGTTTTGTCTGATTTGAAACTTTTTTAAATGAAGAACTATACTATACATACCAGAGAATTAGAAATAGTTTAAAGAAAACACCAGCTTAGGAAACAGAATGTTACCAGGCCTTTCCAAGTCCTCCTGTGTACCCTCCATCCCCAGAATTAACTACCAATCATTCTTTTGCTTTTCTTTATAGTTTTTTCACATATGTAGCCTTAAATAATATGTTCACTTTTTTCTAGTTTTAACCTTTATATAAATAGAATGTTTCTGTTTATACCCCTCAGCGACTTGCTTTTTTTCAGTATTGTTTTTGAGATTCATATACCATTCCAACATGGTTTTTCACTGCTGTATTAACATGTTCCTACACTAATAGCGGATAGATAGCCCCTCAATTTTTGGCTATTACAAATAATGCTCCCATTACATTGTTGCACATATTTCCTGGTGCAAATGGCACTTGTACAACAATTACTTTAGGATATATACGTAAAAACTGAACTAGGAAATGTATAAGATAATTATCCTACAAAGTATTTCAACAGATTTACATTCTTATCTAGAGTAATGAATTCCCTCTGTTGTACATCCTTGCTAACACCCACCTTTCTGAATTTTGTTTTCTTTAACTCCGAGAAAAAACAAATCTGCAGGAATAACATGAAATATGTTATTACCCTTTACCCGGATGTCTCCCTCCTCTGTTCTGGATCCCTTGCATCTCCCTGTGCTCTTGTGTATGTACACACTATAGACATAAACTTGTTTCTGAATAATTTCAGAATAAGTTGCATACTCATGCCCCTTATCCCAAAATATCTGTACTTCCTAAAATTAAAAATATTTTATGTAATCAAAATGCAAATGATTCTCATTATATACAATAAATTTAACACTGATAAAATAACTGTAATCTAACCTACTATCCTTATTGCAGTTTTGTCAACTGACCCATGTGTCTTTTATTTTATTTTTTTGAGACAGGGTCTTTCTCTGTCACCCAGGCTGGAGGGCAGTGGCACGATCTCGGCTCCCTGCAACCTCCGCCTCACAGGCTCCAGCAATTCTCCTGCTTCAGCCTCCCGGGTAGCTACAACTATAGCCACTGCTGGCCGGCTGATTTTTGTATTTTTAGTAAAGACAGGGTTTCACCATGTTGACGAGGCTGGTCTTAAACTCCTGACCTCAGGTAATCCACCTGCTTCAGCCTCCCAAAGTGCTGGGATTACAGGTATAAGCCACTGTGCCCAGCCACATAATGTCTCTTATGACCCTTTCCCTCCACCACTACAAGTCTAGGTAAGGATCGTCCAATGCCTTTAGTTGTCACAGCTCTTCAATCTCAACTAATCTGGAACAGCTTTCACTCTGTCTTTTTATAACACTGACATTTTGAGTATAGTCTCCTCTTCCTCCCTACTTTTTGGCTAACTAAATTCCATACTGTATTCAGATTTCTTCACTTTCTAAAAATTGAGCTGTAACTCACATACCATAAAATTCAGCACTTTAAAATGGATAACTTCAGTGGTTTTTAGCGTATTTGCAGGATTATGTTACCATCACCATTACCTAATTCCAGAACATTTTCTTTCATTTACACCAAAAGAAATCCAGTACTCCAAAGCAGCCACTCCTGATTTCCCCCATTCTCAGTCCCCATCGCTGGAAACTACTAATCTAACTTGCTGTCTCTATTGACTTGCCTGTTCTAGACCTTTCATATAAATGGAACGATGCAATATGTGGCCCTTTGTTTCTGGCCACTTTCACTTAGCGTAATATTTACAAGGTTCGTCCATGTAATGTGCCAGTTGTAACACATACCAGTGCTTTCTTCCTTTTTATGGCTGGTACTCCATTGCATGGACAGATTATAATTGGCCTATCCATTTATCACTGATAGACATTTGAGTCTGTGCGATTTTTTGGCTATCATGAATAATGCTGTCAACATGTATGTACGCAGTTTCTTTAGTTTTTATCTAATATCATTTTCCTGTTCCAGGATCCACTTCAAGATATCACAATACATTTAGCTGTCATGTTTCTGGGCTCCTCTTGGCTGTGACAGTTCTCAGAC